TCTCCATTATCCCAGGTCACTGTGCATGCAGGTCTGTATCTATTATCCCAGGTCACTGTGCTTGCAGGTCTGTATTTTCATTATCCCAGGTCACTGTGCATGCAGGTCTGTATCTCCATTATCCCAGGCCATTGTGCATGCAGGTCTGTATCTCCATTATCCCAGGTCACTGTGCATGCAGGTCTGTATCTTATTATCCCAGGTCATTGTGCTTGCAGGTCTGTATCTTATTATCCCAGGTCATTGTGCTTGCAGGTCTGTATTTTCATTATCCCAGGTCACTGTGCATGCAGGTCTGTATCTCCATTATCTCAGGTCACTGTGCTTGCAGGTCTGTTTCTCCATTATCCCAGGTCACTGTGCATGCAGGTCTGTATCTCCATTATCCCAGGTCACTGTGCATGCAGGTCTGTATCTCCATTATCCCAGGTCACTGTGCATGCAGGTCTGTATCTCCATTATCCCAGGTCACTGTGCATGCAGGTCTGCATCTCCATTATCCCAGGTCACTGTGCATGCAGGTCTGTATCTCCATTATCCCAGGTCACTGTGCATGCAGGTCTGCATCTCCATTATCCCAGGTCACTGTGCATGCAGGTCTGTATCTCCATTATCTCAGGTCACTGTGCTTGCAGGTCTGTTTCTCCATTATCCCAGGTCACTGTGCATGCAGGTCTGTATCTCCATTATCCCAGGTCACTGTGCATGCAGGTCTGTATCTCCATTATCCCAGGTCACTGTTGCATGCAGGTCTGCATCTCCATTATCCCAGGTCACTGTGCATGCAGGTCTGTATCTCCATTATCCCAGGTCACTGTGCATGCAGGTCTGCATCTCCATTATCCCAGGTCACTGTGCATGCAGGTCTGTATCTCCATTATCTCAGGTCACTGTGCTTGCAGGTCTGTTTCTCCATTATCCCAGGTCACTGTGCATGCAGGTCTGTATCTCCATTATCCCAGGTCACTGTGCATGCAGGTCTGTATCTCCATTATCCCAGGTCACTGTGCATGCAGGTCTGTATCTCCATTATCCCAGGTCACTGTGCATGCAGGTCTGCATCTCCATTATCCAAGGTCACTGTGCATGCAGGTCTGTATCTCCATTATCTCAGGTCACTGTGCTTGCAGGTCTGTTTCTCCATTATCCCAGGTCACTGTGCATGCAGGTCTGTATCTCCATTATCCAGGTCACTGTGCATGCAGGTCTGTATCTCCATTATCCCAGGTCACTGTGCATGCAGGTCTGTATCTCCATTATCCCAGGTCACTGTGCATGCAGGTCTGCATCTCCATTATCCCAGGTCACTGTGCATGCAGGTCTGTATCTCCATTATCCCAGGTCACTGTGCATGCAGGTCTGTATCTCCATTATCCCAGGTCACTGTGCATGCAGGTCTGTATCTCCATTATCCCAGGTCACTGTGCATGCAGGTCTGTATCTCCATTATCCCAGGTCACTGTGCTTGCAGGTCTGTATCTCCATTATCCCAGGTCACTGTGCATGCAGGTCTGTATCTCCATTATCCCAGGTCACTGTGCATGCAGGTCTGTATCTCCATTATCCCAGGTCACTGTGCTTGCAGGTCTGTATCTCCATTATCCCAGGTCACTGTGCTTGCAGGTCTGTATCTCCATTATCCCAGGTAACTGTGCTTGCAGGTCTGTATCTCCATTATCCCAGGTCACTGTGCTTGCAGGTCTGTATCTCCATTATCACAGGTCACTGTGCATGCAGGTCTGTATCTCCATTATCCCAGGTCACTGTGCATGCAGGTCTGTATCTCCATTATCCCAGGTCACTGTGCATGCAGGTCTGTATCTCCATTATCCCAGGTCACTGCATGCAGGTCTGTTATCCCATTATCCCAGGTCACTGTGCATGCAGGTCTGTATCTCCATTATCCCAGGTCATGTGCATGCAGGTCTGTATCTCCATTATCCCAGGTCACTGTGCATGCAGGTCTGTATCTCCATTATCCCAGGTCACTGCATGCAGGTCTGTATCTAGATTATCCCAGGTCACTGGGCAATGCAGGTCTGTATCTCCATTATCCCAGGTCACTGTGCTTGCCGGTCCGTGTCTCCATTATCCCAGGTCACTGTGCATGCAGGTCTGTATCTCCATTATCCCAGGTCACTGTGCATGCACGTCTGTATCTCCATTATCCCAGGTCACTGCTTGCAGGTCTGTGTCTCCATTATCCCAGGTCACTGTGCATGCAGGTCTGTATCTCCATTATCCCAGGTCACTGTGCATGCAGGTCTGTATCTTCATTATCCCAGGTCACTGTGCTTGCAGGTCTGTATCTCCATTATCCCAGGTCACTGTGCATGCAGGTCTGTATCTTCATTATCCCAGGTCACTTTGCTTGCAGGTCTGTATCTCCATTATCCCAGGTCACTGTGCATGCAGATCTGTATCTCCATTATCCCAGGTCACTGTGCATACAGGTCTGTATCTCCATTATCCCAGGTCACTGTGCATGCAGGTCTGTATCTCCATTATCCCAGGTCACTGCATGTAGGTCTGTATCTCCATTATCCCAGGTCACTGTGCTTGCAGGTCTGTATCTCCATTATCCCAGGTCACTGTGCATGCAGGTCTGTATCTCCATTATCCCAGGTCACTGTGCATGCAGGTCTGTATCTCCATTATCCCAGGTCACTGTGCATGCAGGTCTGTATCTCCATTATCCCAGGTCACTGCATGCAGGTCTGTATCTCCATTATCCCAGGTCACTGTGCATGCAGGTCTGTATCTCCATTATCCCAGGTCACTGTGCATGCAGGTCTGTATCTCCATTATCCCAGGTCACTGTGCATGCAGGTCTGTATCTCCATTATCCCAGGTCACTGTGCTTGCAGGTCTGTATCTCCATTATCCCAGGTCATTGTGCATGCAGGTCTGTATCTCCATTATCCCAGGTCACTGTGCATGCAGGTCTGTATCTCCATTATCCCAGGTCACTGTGCATGCAGGTCTGTATCTCCATTATCCCAGGTCACTGTGCATGCAGGTCTGTATCTCCATTATCCCAGGTCACTGTGCAATGCAGGTCTGTATCTCCATTATCCCAGGTCACTGTGCTTGCCGGTCTGTGTCTCCATTATCCCAGGTCACTGTGCTTGCAGGTCTGTGTCTCCATTATCCCAGGTCACTGTGCATGCAGGTCTGTATCTCCATTATCCCAGGTCACTGTGCATGCAGGTCTGTATCTCCATTAACCCAGGTCACTGTGCTTGCAGGTCTGTATCTCCATTATCCCAGGTCACTGTGCATGCTGGTCTGTATCACCATTAACCCAGGTCACTGTGCATGCAGATCTGTATCTCCATTATCCCAGGTCACTGTGCATGCAGGTCTGTATCTCCATTATCCCAGGTCACTGTGCATGCAGGTCTGTATCTCCATTATCCCAGGTCACTGTGCATGCAGGTCTGTATCTCCATTATCCCAGGTCACTGTGCATGCAGGTCCCGGAGTAGGTCCTCATTGTTTCTAAATATAGGGTTTAAGATATGTCGTAATCTTGTTGGTTTAACAGTTTACTGGCTTAAGGAGAATTTTTGGCAAAGGTTTATTAATTGTGTTGTGTGAGACTTCCTCAAGCTAGCTCCAGCGAGTCTCTGGTATGGCAGTCCTTGTCACACTCTTCCATTTAAGATGTTTCAAATTGAAGTCTCCAAGCAGTAATATATTTTGGAACGAATCTGAAAGGTTTTCAAGACAATGTTCGGTATGCTATAACTGGTGTGTGAGCTTCTGGAAAGCTGTATCTGGGGGGTTTCATTGCTCGAAAAGTAGGTTCTGGTTTTCGATTTTGACTTTCAGATCTTCGACTACATTATTTGTATAGTTCAGTAACTCACTGCATATGGGTGACTCTTTAAAATACAGGCCATGAATAAACAGAAAAATAGACAGAGACTCGAATAATGGGCCTGGCACTTAGCAGATCTTCCTTTGTGCAACTGAGCTGTGAAGCTTTTGATAGGAAGATTTCACATATAGCACTTCTGGGACGTGCATGTGTGTGCAACTGTGCATTAGCAGCAACACTTGTGTGACTCTTCTGTCTCTTTCCACAGCCCCAGAAGTTTTCATGGTCCATAAACTTTGTTAACTTATAGCCCATAAACCTAAGATAAGTCGTTATTTTAAGTATATATTTATTTCAGACTAGAACCTGGAACCTACCACCATAGGAGCAAGGTACACAGTACCATGTACACCAAGCCAGACAACACAATACCATGTACAACAAGCCAGACAACACAATACCATGTACAACAAGCCAGGAAATACAATACCATGTACAACAAGCCAGACAACACAATACCATGTACAACAAGCCAGGAAACACAACTCTGATATGATGTAAATAGTTTGGAGAACCGACAAGTTGAAGAATGAAACATTTCTGCAACATTTGGGAAACTCATTGTGGAAACGTTTCGCCAGCCAGTGACTTCTTCAGTCCAGTACAGTGAAGAGCAGTGGAAGACGAGGAGGAGTTTAAAGTAATCAGTCCTTCAACCTGGTATCTATGTGTTCAGTCCATCAATGTTTTCTCAAGATTGACGGACTGAACACATGGACTCCAGGCTGGGAGATTGGTTACCTCAAAGTCCTCATCTTCCACTGTTTTTCTCTGTATTCCACAATGAAGATTCCCAAACAGGCACAAGTATCTCATTCTTCACTCCGGTGTCCAGTGAACTAGACATTTTCACCAGAGCCTGTGACACTAACCAGTGGTACTAAGCCAGTGGTACTAACCATTGGTACTAAGCCAGTGGTACTAGCCAGTGGTACTAACCAGTGACCATTCTTTATTTCCTCATCTGCATGTACTGCTCCACAAGAGACACTTGAATTCTTATAAATCACAGAACAAGCGAAATATTTACAATAATTTATCAGTAACTTAAACTACAGTAGTCCCCGCCCTCACCCAGTATAGGTGTTCCCTCCTTATGTATGTTCTGTAGTAATTGGAAGCCGCACACCGGATGTCCCCAAAAAATTTCTTACATGAAAACATTCGCAGTCCACTAACTCGTGTTCTCTCTTCCACCAGAGTCCACATGGGTTGCCTGCAGCTCAAGCGATGGCTGTCGTTCCTGCCGGCCGCTTTCGTCGTCTATATTCTACTGCACTACCTCGTCTACCAGCCCGACCTCACCGGCCCTCACCCCGCAGTACTCGGTACGTAGTCATCATTAGGGATTCCAGCAGTTAGATGGTAGTGTACTCTTCCAGGACTTCCAGCAGGCAGATTGAAGCGTACTAGTACTTCCAGGCGTTCTAAGAAGCAGGTTTTGCTTCCAAGCATTAATAAGTAACGGTAGGTAACGTACTCGCCCAGGGCATCCAAGAAGCAGCTGGTAGCGCACTTTTTCAGGACTTCCAGAAAAGCATGTGTCAGCATATCTCTCCAAGGCTTCCAAAAATCAGATGAGAGTATATTCTTCCAAGAGTTCCAAGAAGGAGGAAACTGAGCATTCTTCCAGTGCATCCAAGAATCAGGTGGTGGTACGGTTGTAAAGTGTTCCAAGAAAGTGGAAGTAGTGCTGCTATCAGTTGTGATGTTTGTGATACAGTTTTCCTACCTCGCATCATGGTCTATGGCTATGCTTTCTTGTTGACTTTCTTGTCAACTAGGCTATTGCTTTTGGTAGTCAGCATGCCGACATAGCCATCACATACTGGTTCATATGACGGTGTAGTTGTAAAGTGCTTCAGATGCAGACAGTAAAGTTATTTAGTGGCGCAGCTGGTGGTTGTCGCCTAGTGGTTCAGCCGGGGGTAGTGGAGTTATCCAGTTATCAAGCGAGTGGTAGCGAAATTATCGAACTGTGCCGCTGTTGGTAGTGGAACTGTCCAGGGATGTATCTACCTATGGCGCAGGTGGTGGCAGTGCAGTTATCCAGTGGTGCAGCTGGTGACAGTACAGTTATCCATTAGTGCAGCTGGTGACAGTACAGTTATCCATTGGTGCAGCTGGTGACAGTACAGTTATCCAGTGGTGCAGCTGGTGACAGTACAGTTATCCATCAGTGCAGCTGGTGACAGTACAGTTATCCATTGGTGCAGCTGGTGACAGTACAGTTATCCAGTGGTGCAGGTGGTGGCAGTACAGTTATCCAGTGGTGCAGCTGGTGACAGTACAGTTATCCATTAGTGCAGCTGGTGACAGTACAGTTATCCATTAGTGCAACTGGTGACAGTACAGTTATCCAGTGGTGCAGCTGGTGACAGTACAGTTATCCATTAGTGCAGCTGGTGACAGTACAGTTATCCATTGGTGCAGCTGGTGACAGTACAGTTATCCAGTGGTGCAGCTGGTGGCAGTACAGTTATCCAGTGGTGCAGCTGGTGACAGTACAGTTATCCATTAGTGCAGCTGGTGACAGTACAGTTATCCATTAGTGCAGCTGGTGACAGTACAGTTACCCAGTTGGTTGGTGCAGCTGATAGTAGTTAGTAGAGTTAGTGGTAGTTGATGCAGTTGGTGGTAGTTGATGCAGTTAGTGGTAGTTGATGCAGTTGGTGGTAGTTGATGCAGTTGGTGGTAGTTGATGCAGTTGGTGGTAGTTGATGCAGTTGGTGGTAGTTGATGCAGTTGGTGGTAGTTGATGCAGTTGGTGGTAGTTGATGCAGTTGGTGGTAGTTGAGGCAGTTAGTGGTAGTTGATGCAGTTGGTGGTAGTTGATGCAGTTGGTGGTAGTTGATGCAGTTGGTGGTAGTTGATGCAGTTGGTGGTAGTTGATGCAGTTGGTGGTAGTTGATGCAGTTGGTGGTAGTTGATGCAGTTGGTGGTAGTTGATGCAGTTCGTGGTAGTTGATGTAGTTGGTGGTAGTTGATGCAGTTGGTGGTAGTTGAGGCAGTTAGTGGTAGTTGATGCAGTTGGTAGTTGATGCAGTTGGTGGTAGTTGAGGCAGTTAGTGGTAGTTGATGCAGTTGGTGGTAGTTGATGCAGTTGGTGGTAGTTGATGCAGTTGGTGGTAGTTGAGGCAGTTAGTGGTAGTTGATGCAGTTGGTGGTAGTTGATGCAGTTGGTGGTAGTTGAGGCAGTTAGTGGTAGTTGATGCAGTTGGTGGTAGTTGATGCAGTTGGTGGTAGTTGATGCAGTTGGTGGTAGTTGATGCAGTTGGTGGTAGTTGATGCAGTTGGTGGTAGTTGATGCAGTTGGTGGTAGTTGATGCAGTTGGTGGTAGTTGATGCAGTTGGTGGTAGTTGATGCAGTTGGTGGTAGTTGATGCAGTTGGTGGTAGTTGATGTAGTTGGTGGTAGTTGATGCAGTTGGTGGTAGTTGAGGCAGTTAGTGGTAGTTGATGCAGTTGGTGGTAGTTGATGCAGTTGGTGGTAGTTGAGGCAGTTAGTGGTAGTTGATGCAGTTGGTGGTAGTTGATGCAGTTGGTGGTAGTTGATGCAGTTGGTGGTAGTTGATGCAGTTGGTGGTAGTTGATGTAGTTGGTGGTAGTTGATGCAGTTGGTGGTAGTTGATGCAGTTGGTGGTAGTTGATGCAGTTGGTGGTAGTTGATGCAGTTGGTGGTAGTTGATGCAGTTGGTGGTAGTTGATGTAGTTGGTGGTAGTTGATGCAGTTGGTGGTAGTTGAGGCAGTTAGTGGTAGTTGATGCAGTTGGTGGTAGTTGATGCAGTTGGTGGTAGTTGAGGCAGTTAGTGGTAGTTGATGCAGTTGGTGGTAGTTGATGCAGTTGGTGGTAGTTGATGCAGTTGGTGGTAGTTGATGCAGTTGGTGGTAGTTGATGTAGTTGGTGGTAGTTGATGCAGTTGGTGGTAGTTGATGCAGTTGGTGGTAGTTGATGCAGTTGGTGGTAGTTGATGTAGTTGGTGGTAGTTGATGCAGTTGGTGGTAGTTGATGCAGTTGGTGGTAGTTGAGGCAGTTAGTGGTAGTTGATGCAGTTGGTGGTAGTTGATGCAGTTGGTGGTAGTTGATGCAGTTGGTGGTAGTTGAGGCAGTTAGTGGTAGTTGATGCAGTTGGTGGTAGTTGATGCAGTTGGTGGTAGTTGAGGCAGTTAGTGGTAGTTGATGCAGTTGGTGGTAGTTGATGCAGTTGGTGGTAGTTGATGTAGTTGGTGGTAGTTGATGCAGTTGGTGGTAGTTGAGGCAGTTAGTGGTAGTTGATGCAGTTGGTGGTAGTTGATGCAGTTGGTGGTAGTTGAGGCAGTTAGTGGTAGTTGATGCAGTTGGTGGTAGTTGATGCAGTTGGTGGTAGTTGATGCAGTTGGTGGTAGTTGATGCAGTTGGTGGTAGTTGATGTAGTTGGTGTAGTTGATGCAGTTGGTGGTAGTTGATGCAGTTGGTGGTAGTTGATGCAGTTGGTGGTAGTTGATGCAGTTGGTGGTTAGTTGATGCAGTTAGTGGTAGTTGATGCAGTTGGTGGTAGTTGATGCAGTTAGTGGTAGTTGATGCAGTTGGTGGTAGTTGATGCAGTTGGTGGTAGTTGATGCAGTTAGTGGTAGTTGATGCAGTTGGTTGTAGTTGATGCAGTTGGTGGTAGTTGATGCAGTTGGTGGTAGTTGATGCAGTTAGTGGTAGTTGATGCAGTTGGTGGTAGTTGATGCAGTTGGTGGTAGTTGATGCAGTTAGTGGTAGTTGATGCAGTTAGTGGTAGTTGATGCAGTTAGTGGTAGTTGATGCAGTTAGTGGTAGTTGATGCAGTTGGTGGTAGTTGATGCAGTTAGTGGTAGTTGATGCAGTTGGTGGTAGTTGATGCAGTTAGTGGTAGTTGATGCAGTTGGTGGTAGTTGATGCAGTTAGTGGTAGTTGATGCAGTTAGTGGTAGTTGATGCAGTTAGTGGTAGTTGATGCAGTTGGTGGTAGTTGATGCAGTTGGTGGTAGTTGATGCAGTTAGTGGTAGTTGATGCAGTTGGTGGTAGTTGATGCAGTTGGTGGTAGTTGATGCAGTTGGTGGTAGTTGATGCAGTTAGTGGTAGTTGATGCAGTTAGTGGTAGTTGATGCAGTTAGTGGTAGTTGATGCAGTTGGTGGTAGTTGATGCAGTTGGTGGTAGTTGATGCAGTTGGTGGTAGTTGATGCAGTTAGTGGTAGTTGATGCAGTTGGTGGTAGTTGATGCAGTTGGTGGTAGTTGATGCAGTTGGTGGTAGTTGATGCAGTTAGTGGTAGTTGATGCAGTTGGTGGTAGTTGATGCAGTTGGTGGTAGTTGATGCAGTTGGTGGTAGTTGATGCAGTTAGTGGTAGTTGATGCAGTTGGTGGTAGTTGATGCAGTTGGTGGTAGTTGATGCAGTTGGTGGTAGTTGATGCAGTTGGTGGTAGTTGATGTAGTTGGTGGTAGTTAATACAGTTATTGATAATTATCCACAATGTAATATATAATTAGTTAATGTGTAATAAATAATAATATATATCGCCATTAAAATATATAATAAATGTGTCTAATAAATTAATTGTCAGTTCCTGGAAGCTGTCACTAATAGTTTAATCATCCTTCAAGGGATATTGGGTGGGTTTTTTTTTCACTAAAGTTTTATTTTATATTTTGAGAATGCCTCAGTCGATCGTCTTCAACCTTCAGTGCTTGTTTATCGTGACTTGTGAAAGGTTAATGGAATCCACGTGATAACCTGAGAAAGCCTCTTCTGATTGAATTCAAAATTTCGTCTCTAGTTTGTCTTATTTATCAGAAAGTCAGAAGTGTTATTAAAGTTTGTAGCAGCTACCATAATTTGCCAGTTTTATTTTTGAAAATAGGTGGTGGGGGGGGTTTTTCAATGATGTAATTTGAGTTTTCCTTGTTTGATCGACTACAAGTTTAATTGTCAGCGCATCTTGTGAAGATGTTATTGTGTAGGTTCAGGCTGATTAGTTACGAATTTGTCAAACTTACTGTGAGTGGTAGAAAACGTCGAATTTTTGCATTCTGTGCACTAACTAAAGACTGACTCTTCCGCTAGACTTCAAACTCATAACACTGATATATTTTCTTCAAATAAGCTTCTTGTTAGTCTTGGACTGAGAAAGTTCTAATCTGCCAGTGATATTTAGCAAACTAATTTAGTGTACAATAAGACTTTGTGATGTCTGGTGCCAATTTATCAATTTTACCGAAGAAACTCGATAATTAAAAAATTGGTTTTCACTTTTTAATGTATAAATGACTGACTCAGCCATCCTCAAATCACAGCTGGGCATGGTGACACAGGATCGAATCCC